CCTACACCAGGCCTCTGTGGTCTCTCTCCCCCTCAGCAATATGGCGGCAGGGAGGGCCACGCAGCTCCTGGCGAATGCGTAAGTCTCCCTTCTTTTCACCTCTGCCCGCGAGTGGGGCGCGTGGGCGACTCCTCCCCCCGTGTTGGCTGCAGTGCATCTATCTGCACGGCGGCAGGTTCATCTCAGTCTTTTAAAAACACCAGCAGAGAATGAATGCCCATCACGAAGGGCCTGGGTGAACAAATTACAGTGTGCTTCTGCAGCATAATGCTATGCAGCCAATAAAAAGAACGAGGCAGCTCTCTCTACACTGATAGGGGATAAGCTCCATGATATATTGCCAAGTGCGAGGAAGCAAGGTGCACAGCACCGTGTAGAGAGCGCGCTACATCTGTTTAAGAACAAGATATACACATATCTATATGCTTATGCTTATACACACAAAGCCTCTCTTTGGAAGATTACCAAGGAAACCCGTGACACTTTGGGGGCGGGAGACCAGGACAGGAAGGAGGGTCCCTTTCACTGTAAATACTTTGTGGGTTTTGAATGTATATAAATCACATATATAAAGTGTGTTATCTAGTATATGCATACACATCTATATTGGACCGTGTGTGCACTGTCTGGTCCACACAATGAATGGATCAAAGAACAGCATCTACTAGAGGGGTTTGCTGTTGAAATAAATCCACTGGAAAATGAATCCTCTAAGAAACGGAGGCACCTCGCTCTCTCTCTCTCTCTCTCTCTCTCTCTCCCGCTCCATTCCCCTTCGTTCCTTCTCTCTCTGTCAGGCTTAAGGATACGATGTGGAAACTTCGAAAGAGGTAAGATCTCAGTTCATTCACTCACGGCGGTCCAGTGTGTTCTCGCCCACTGGACCCTAGAGTCATAGAACCAGCCAGAGAAGAGAGAGACACGCGTGCTTCCATCTTGACTCAGAAGCCCATGCACCTGCGAGTGTGAGAAAACCCTAAGTGCGGATGGAACCGATTGAGCTTTTTTTTTTAATGATCGTGGCCCTGTCTCCTACCCACACACCTACCCATTTCACTCGTGGGAACGAGTGAGCACAGAGAGACTCACTCTGTCCAAGTGCTGGAGGGCACTGTCCTTGGGTTCTCAGTCTAGGAGCCAACAAGGAGAAGGAAGCCACGTGGACCCGGGCTGACCAAGCAGGCTGTGGAGTGCCAGGTGAGCTGGAGACGCTGGCAGAAGACGGAGGACAGAGGCAGAATGCACCAGAAGGTTAGAAATGCTGCCCCCCCTGAACCCCTGCTGGGCACTGTCAGGGGGCTCCCTAGTAGTCTCGGGAATCTTGGATACCCCCACAAAATTAATACCTTAAAAAGACATCCTTGGAGGTTGTTGAACGGATCCAACATCACTGCAGAGTGCAAAGGACGGGCGCCTAGATGAAGGAGAGACAGGAGACCCCCTCCCCGACCATCTCCCGGGTGGTCCTTGCCTTAGCTGCCATGTCTGTACCCCCGTGCCAGATGGGGGTGCCACCTTGCATTCGTGGAACTGCAAGTTCAGAATCCTACCATAGTGGAGGCGGGGGCAGTTGCTGGCAAACTTCCCGTGAAACACGTAGTCCGTGAATGAATTGTAACGGGGGCTCTTCGAGTCTGCTTTGTGCCAGAGCATGTGACGATGCTTCCTTCGGCGTCTGGCGGGCACTGAAATAAGAACGGTGGG